GGAAATGTTGGCCACAGACGACCCTTTTTTGCTGACATTGACATTAGCTGTCAACATCAGCTTTCTCATGCCTGCCTTAACCTGTTCTTGACATCTTTTGTTGTTTTCAAATGAAGAACATGCAACATAGAAAGTCTACTAAACTGTATACTTTATTGGGGTTGAGTTAAAGCCCTCATGTAATTATATCTACTACTAGTCAGTCTTAATTAGCATTTGATGCCAGCTATACAAACTATTATGAAAGGTAAAATAAGTGGTAAGGAATAATTGAATAAGTCTTGATCATTCAGTATACTTTACTCTGTTTAAGAGCTCCAGCCACACACAAATATACGCAAATGTAAATTCAGCATTACTCACTTCAATCCTGCCTGCCAGTGTATAATTGAAAACTGTGGGATGCTTGAGAATGAGTAATCGGCCCAGGCACCTATAATGGATCTTTTCAGGTTTCTTTTCTTTTCACCACAATTACCAGTCAAAGAAAAGTGTTTCAGCTGCGTTCACTGTATTTTTTGGGATTGTCCCAATCCTTCTGTGGCCTGGCAGTGGGCCAAGGAACAGTGATTTGGGAGTCTCATCTTTGGACAACAGTGAGTTGTCGGGAGGAGAAGGAGGAAAAACAGAATGATGTACTTTACTGTGGCGGTATAACAAGGTAACCATATGACTCACCACACACTCATTTGGATTTTTCTTGTCCTACCACAACCTTGAGGCTCATTTGAAGCAACGCTGGTAGATATATCAAGCAAGACAGAAATGTAACAAACCAGACATACTCAAGAGTCTTTCAGGGCCAAGCACAATAAGTGAAAAAACATTTTCTTCAGTGGTGCAAAGAGAAGTTTCACTAAGTGCTAAAAGTTTGATTAGTCATTATTATAAGAAACATTTTTAGATTACATTTGCATTTCAACCATTTGGGTGTCACTCTCATCAGAGCATTCCAATGAGAAGAGCAGCAGAATAGGTTCCTGCAATTAGGCAAACATGCTTTATTGATTGCTATGGCATCATATGGTAGTTTATCCTGTTTGTATTTATTATTATCATTATCATTATTATCATTATTATTATTATTATTATTATTATTATTATTATTATTATTATAAGTCGTAGAAGTAGTATTTATCGTAGTAATCCAGTAAAATCAAACCATTTCTGGCTGCCGCAGATTTAGCCAGTGCTCTGTCTTATTGTAACTTTCTATATTCAACACTACATAAAAAAGCACAAAATGATCTGCCATAGATCCAAAAGACACCAGCTACAAGCTATATTTCTGGCCTATGAGCTTATAAATGACTGACAAGGATGTCAGTAGAAAAAGCTCTTCTCGCAGTTTCTAAAGTCTAGATTTGTTACTATGAGTCTATTTGCTGTCATGGCACCTCAACTATAGGATGAACTACCATTCACAATCTGCATTGTAACTTATTCATTTTCTTTCAAACATTATTGTAACTATGTTATCATTTTGTAGTTACAATAATATAGTAGTTAATATATAGAGGTTACAACTCAACTGACACTTTTATAGCACATAGTAACTGAAGTCAAATAACAGAAGGCATTCTTTATGAACAGCATCACTGAACATGAACACGTTGTATAATGAATAGACTATTGTAGATTGTTCCATATATGAATGTAACCAGCAATTTACCAATTATATTCTTACAGCCACACACACACACACACACACACAGACACACACAAACCCCTTCCAAAACATTCCCAGGAATTACCCGTGCCCCATGTGGCTGTGGAAAACAGTGGAGCGGTAAACTGAGCAGGTTTGGGAGGTAGCTAAATCTCCCAGTACTTTCCTCACGCTTGTGAACTTCTTCTCAGGGATTAGGGAGTAAACACACAGGGTCTGAGAGAAATGTCTCCCTCTACCTCTAGCCTATAACCACATGAACTGACTCTGGCAGAGGGGATAGGGCTGGGTCCAAGTGTGTCATGGATCAGTTCTGTCAAGCCCAGAAGAAATATTTAACCCTTTATAATAAAAATGGTTTAATACAGATGCTCTGGATGCTATTTCTGAACCAGGTCATTGATGACAGATTCAAAAGAACTCAAATAAAGCAAACTATGTCAGTGGATGACTCCTTCCCACGCATGTTAGACATGTTCTGTGTGACCAAGAAGGGAGAGACCAAACAAAGGAGTGCCATGATAGCACCTCAGAGCTAATCTCACAATTACTACTTTACTGCTGCTGTCAGACAAAACACAACAAAAGCTTAGAGCTGTCACGCATATAGCCCTTTAAGTGTGCGTGTGTGTGTGTGTGTGTGTCTCTTTGGTAATAGACATGTGAGGTCTGTCTAATCTTGTTCTTTGTTGTCTATTTCTGTTGCAACTTAACTATAAAACACTGACACAATATGATTGACATTACAAAATACAAAACATATGATATTGCATGGCTCAATGAGAGGAGCATGATACAGTCATTATCAGGGTTTTGTATTACAACAAGGCTGAAGTGCAGGACTGTGGACTTTTTATACTGTATTTATGGGGAGTGCCAACAAAATGTCTTATTTTTATGTAAGATATTGTAAAAGTAGCATCTTTGTCTCACATTATTTGCGTTTTTCCCTCTTGTGCAACTATGGTCTTCTGCGTAGACTATATTTGAAACAGTATATCTGTGCATTATTGTATAAGTAGACCTCTGTTGTCCTGTAAAAAACAACTTAGTGCTGGAAATTTCAAAACTTAATTTAAGTTTTCAGTGCTTGTAAATTTGATGCCCTTTATAATGTCAAAATGCTTTGATATTGAGCCTAGAATATGGCAGCTATTCAGTTATTCTAAAAATGTTAAAATGTTAAAAATAACCTTTCACTTGACAACAATACCCTACTGTGCCAGATTTGTCACTGCACAGTGCACTAATGCAGCGGAAAACTTGTTGCTCCTCCAAAACACTAAGTACCTACTGTATTGTGCCGTCCTCTAGTGAAGCTGGATATATTCCACTGACACAGGAGCTGAAGCTAACTGTGTCAGAGAAAGGCTGGGGATGTCACAGGCAATGCCTGGCATTAGCTGTATAATGGCCAGGATTTGCTGATAAAACAGGGGCCTCACAGTGGCAGTCTTTAGTGACTTAAGTGGGCCGTTCTTCCATAGCCGCTGGGGCTGTACAGTATATCCATTGCTCTATCTGTCTAACTCATTATGTCTCTTTGAGCTTTCCCCTCTAGCTTATTTCTCCAAGATGTTAATAGAATAGGGTTTTTTTTGACTGATTGATGTGATTGCATATTTACAATATGCAGACTTTTAGACCAACAGGTGTACAAAAGGTGTGTGTGACAGCACAGTATGAGGTCATTTTACATGTTCACAGAATATAAACTCTGTAATAGGCTTGAGCTAGTAAAGAAAAAAAAAATGCTAGTTAGCTAACGTTTTTACAGCAGAAACGTGGATGTCATTGATTCAAATGCCCCAGTAAGCCATGGCGTGACAGTGAGCCAGCATGCACAATATCAGGACCCTTAAACTAAAGCAGTTAAATGGAATTCAGCCATCTTTAACTTTATACTTGACACTCGTACCTGTGAAAAAGCAGGTCAGTTGCTATGAGCTGATCATAGGTTAAAGTGTGAGGAAGGATTACATGAAATTAGAGTAAATGAACAACATGTACTGTAGGTACCCCAGAAACCGTACTTGCTGTAGGTGTGGTATCTTAACATTGTGACTTGATTCTCAGAAACTCTGGGCCAAAAGAACATGAGAAATCCAGTCTAAAGATTACACTCCAGCAAATTAACCTCCCCTGATGCCTGCTATGAATTATCACCACATTACAGCCAGAATGTGAAAGTGAAAAAAAAAGAAAGAAATAGATGTCCTGAATGATTAGTGGACATCCGGTACTGGAGAACATAATAATTATTTTTTGTGCAGAGGCAACTCTTTTTCTATATGTAGCTACTGAGTGATATACAATAATACAGAGATAAGACATATAAAACCACTTCTAAGCTAAAGATACCAAACAGTATGATTTCTAGTTCCTGGTGGGTTTATTGTATTTATTTGCTATTACAAGAATTACCAGTTGCATCAGAGAGACAGTGTGTAAATAGGTACTGATGCATTATATTTTGTGTAGTTTTTAATAATAAAAACACTCTTTGTTAAAACAGGGTGTTTCCCATCTATTTTTATGTTCTCGTCATATTTAATGTGCCGTCATATGTCTGTCACACAGAAATAAAGCTTAATAAATAAGAGGAAATCTCTTGATCCCAATCTAAATATTGTGAAAAGGCAAGGCAGCACTTTTTGACATTTTTTTCCAGACATGCCTTTATTTGTGTGATGGCATTTACCTCATCTGGCATTTCTCTTGTTTGTCAATTATCTTCATGAAGACTCGGGTCTGACAGAGTTGTTGCAGTGAAGTGATGACAGCAAGAGGTACAAAATAAAATAAAATAAAAAATAGCATAGGTATAAAAATGTAAATATAATTTCCCCATTTCCAATGTTAGCTGTCTCTGTCACTATTCAGCTCCATGTCACCGTAAGCCAAAGTTTCCTATCCATTAGATATCTGCAGAAACCAACAGATGTATGTGAAACATGACAAGATGGACAGTTGAGACTTTCAAAAATGTGTAAAATGCTGTGCTTGTAATTCAGATAGCATGTCCTCCCTGTATCAGTTGCACACTGCTGTGACATCTCCAGAGGTTGTAGAGTTCAAACACAAAGAGAAAAAAAAGGTAGGAGACTTAAGGTCGTCATCGAGAAAGCCTTATATATCTGCGAGCATGTCCAACATTTATTGATGAGGGTGCCCAGTCACACAACCACCTGTCAAAACTCGTCTTCCTCTTTCTTTTGATCATTATTCTGCTTTCTATTTCTCAAAAACTCTCTTTACTTTGAGATTCTTGGGGGGGGGGTCTAAGCTGTATAACCTGTGATTGATAGCACACACACAGAGGAGACCAACATAAGAGGAAGAGCAACAATTTATTTTCCATTTTAAATAAAGATGGAAAAGCGGTGGAAACTGCCAAGGGTGTTCATCTGATCTGAATGGAACTTCAATAAAACAAATTCCTTCGACAGCTATTTTAGTTCTTCGCCGAGAGGCATTCCCCAAACAACCTTTTGTCTTCTGTCCTGACAGCCCACAACTGCCATTTTAGCCTTTCTCTTTGGCTCCCTTTAAATCAATATATAATATTACCAAGGGCGAAATTTGGTAAGCCTGACCACATGAAGCAGATATTTCTCCATGGTTGATGACAGATCCGGCCATTTGGTTCCTGTGTCTTTTACCCCATCCTCTATACAAGGGTATTTAATTCCATCTCCACATTGATATCAGGACCAGAATCACTGTCACTGCCAAGTATGACATGCAGAGAGAATTTGTCTTGATGTTACTGCAGATGCTGTGTATATCTATGAATTACACTCGGTATCGTTTTACACAAGTGCACTGAACATTCTGTGGTGTTTCTCCCTTTTGATCAAGTCTGTGATAAACAAGAAAAAAACAACATAAGAATTTAATCCGAATGAAAATACAGAATCTTTTGCAGATAGAAAATGTCTTTATAAAGTTACAAGGTATTCAAGGACACAAACAGGAGAAGCTTTTACATGACATAAGACTGCCATCTAGTGGCCAATGAGGCAATTTGCTACAAAGTCAAGCAAGTGAAACATTTGAATTTGATATCTTTTAAGAATTAGAGCATTTTGAGAAAATACACTGCAGATCTGTATGCAAAATATCATTATAATGACACTGAATGTCAATCCATCCTCTTATAAGACAGACACTTCAGGTTAAGCCTCCTCTTGCCACAGACTAATCTTTGTACGGATGCTAAGAAAAAAAACACAAGGACATTTGTTAGGATAACTGAACAAAGTTCCCACAAGACCTAATATATAATATAAAAAACTGCAACAATTAGACAATAAATCAATTAGCTGATGAACAGAAATGTAATCATCTACTGTTTTGATAGCCGATTAATCACTTTTAGTCAGTTTAAAAGAAATAAAAAAGCCGGCATTATTTGCTTCTTCACGGTGAATATTTGCTGGTGTCTAAAAAGTGAGTATCTTTTGGTTTTGGACTTTTGGGTGAGTAAAACAAGACATTTGAGTTGGCTAAAAGTGATTAATCAATGTGACAATCTGCAAATTAATCAATGAAAATAATAGTTGCAGCCATAGTAAACAGAAATTAAATAAATGATACATAGTACATTTATAAAGCACATACATTCTTGAAAAATGTGCAATTCTTGATATTTTCCTAAGAATGAATCAAATTCAAAGACTTTCCACTAATCCCACTATAAATGTCACTTCTATATCAGATATTCCATCACGTGTGGGAATACTGCAGAAATATAAAAAGGAGTGAGGGCATTTTGCAAAGATGGCCACTGCAGCAGTTTGACAAACCACTGCTAGTTCAGTGTATTTAGGAAAATACTGTAGGTTGGTACTGGAGTTCTACGGGATTATTATCACTATTATCATTGTGTGAGGAAACTGTTTGATCAAACAGGCCGTTTTGATGTGGTTTGTCCTGATTATTGTGCAGTAGACTAGTAAGGAAGTTATAGCTTACAAACTAGCAGCCACAAATAAATCTGATCTTACCTGGTCCCACTTTTCAAAGTTTCAAAGGCTTTATTGATTTGATCCAGCGGGAGGTGGTCGGTGATAAACTCATCCAGCTTCAGCTTGCCGTCCATGTAGTTGTCCACCAGTGTAGGGATATCCTGCACACTCTTCCATCCTTTAAGAAGAGGATAACAAACCAAAGTGGACATCAATGAGCCTCAAAGAAAGGCACTTCCTACATGTTTATCGTGTAGTCTCAATCGTTTTGCCCAGAGTGAATGAAAGGAGCGGTCACCCTTTGGATTTATTCTTAGATATTATAAATGTGTGCAGTGCATATAAGATGTTAGTTTGTGATGTGTTTTTGTGCGGGTGGATCAACTGTCGCTGCATAACTTTCTGCAGAATTTCCTGTTTGACATTTGACATTCCAGATAACAGGTGCAGACTTGTTACTTATGTGAGCGTGTACATACTGTACTGTTACACACATACTTACACTTTATAAAAAAAGGTCGCTGTAACATGTCAGGTTGTATTGCATTCTGGTCAAGTTTGTTTGAAGTTACTATGAGCAACCTGCCTCTTCTCAGTGAATTCTTTCCTTGCATGCCTGTTGAACCACAAGTCTTTTCTATTTGATTGTGGATTGTGGACTTTGATCAGATCTCCAGCTGGAACCATCAACGGTTTGGTGCGTCGACAACAATTTTGATGACCAATTTCCTGTTTATGTCATTAATAATTAATTTGCTTTTCTCTGGTTTATACAATTGTAAACTCAATACTTTTTGGTTTGGGACTGTTCACCAGACTAAACACATCACCATAGACCTTGAAGTTATGATGATAGGCATTTTACTACCTTATAACTATCAATATTCTAATCAATAATAAACACAAATCATTTCTTGAAGCCATAATCATCAATCAAAACATTTTTTCTAACATCAAATTGGGCTCAGGAATGCAACAGCTGATTTTACACCGTTTTTATATTTTAGGGGGGATCCTCACTGAATTTTACCTTTCACTTATCACTCAACTTCTCCATCATGCCAATTACCATAAATTGTTACCGAAGCATTATGGATGGTAATTTTTTGTACTTGTTTGTCTTGTATGAACTAATAGCTCTGGTAATTTGGTTTAAGTTCACCTCCAAAATAAGTCCCCATCAAGGTGCGCCCCATCAGGATCTTTTCGACTTCAACCTGCATTACTTCTGTCTCCGTCCACCCAGCAATGACACAGATGCCCCAGCCATCTGTTGTAGACTCTAACGCAGCGCTCTAGGACAACACAAAGCATCACTTGTCTTAATTAATACTCCTTTTCGAATATATTTCCAAACACACTTGATGAAACTAGGATTTTACAAAACATTCTAATTGCACAATTTTAACTTGTGTAATTGTAACTTGTGTCAAATTTTGTTTTTGCAGAACTTCTGATCAAAGCAAATTTTCATAGACATGAAGTTTTGAACAAGACTGAGACACCCACCATGACAGCTGGATCTCCAACACACTCCAGAGCGTAGTCCACCCCCCCGTCTGTCTTCTCCACCAGGACCTCCTGGATGGGCTTGGTATGATCTTTGGGATTGACACATTCAGTGGCTCCAAAAAAAACAGCTTTCTCAAACTTCTCAGGGTTGACGTCAACCCCAATGATCGTTGTCGCCCCAGCAATCTGGCAGCCCATGACGGCGGCCAGTCCGACAGCTCCAAGCCCAAACACGGCACATGAGGAACCCTTTTTAACCTGGATGCAAACAGGATGTCAGTCGTCCAAAAGCTGTTCAAGAGACATCTGACAAGATTACGTGATCAGGTGTACAGCTAACATTTATACGGTACATTTAGACTTTATTCTCTTTAAAATATCCATTATACACACATTTATCATTTTTTATCTTGTATATATTCTTATGTAAGGTTGGATTTTAGGCTTTCAAGCCTTCTTGGCTTTTATTCGGACGGATTTAAAAAGTTAAATAAACTGTAAATAGTAAAAATGTAAATTACCCTTTATACTCACTTCGCAATTCGTTGTCATTATTTTAGTTTTAGTCACAGTTTCACTTTATGTTCGAGAGTTTACCCTTACATTACTATTGATTTGTCCTTTTGCTCAATATTCAGAACAAGTTTGATCATTTTCTACATGTTGTATTTAAGGGAATGCTCTACTAATAATTTTGAAAAAATTGTATTTATATTTTAATATGCAAAAAAACATGACAGTCTTTTTAACCAATTAAAACACTTATATGATGCTCATGTTATCTACTGACATCTAGTGGAGAAAACAAATAACTACAGCCCTGACATATGGTAATGTTTCATTAGGAATCGACTTACGAAATTGGAAAACACAAATTACAAATGAGATGTTTTTCAGATATTTAATGGAACTTGTAATTATAAGCTCATTATTTTTAAAGGGTCTTGTTTGTAAATAAATCTAAATTATTTGTTGCATCTGCATTCCCCTTGTTCTAAGGACAAGGTCCTCATCAGAGTTGATGAGAATTCAAGGTATGATTTGAATGATTTGCCCGGCAGGTCTGCATCCTCTTACCTTGCCTGTTTTAACGGCAGCACCGTAACCAGTGGAGACACCACAGCCTAGTAGAAACACTTTGTCCAGCGGTGCATCACTTCTTATCTTTGCAAGTGAAGTATCAGGAACCACAGTGTACTGGGAAAAAGAACTGATGCCCAGGAACTGGTACACCTGCTGCCCCTTGCAAGATATCCTGCTTGTTCCATCAGCCAATACACCTGCTTGTGTATTTGCCCTAAAAGTCACAAAAACAAAGAAGTGTTAAGGAAGTAAATACATTTAGTTAAGTACTGTACTTTTGTACTTTACTTGAGTTTTTCAATTTTATGCTACTCTCAAATTCTACTCCACGACATTTCTGTGGTAAATATTGTACTTTTTACTCCACTTCATTTGTCAGACAGCTATAGTTGCTGGTCCTTATCAGATTAACATTTTGTCATATTGTAATGTCTATGAGTTGTCAGCCGTTCTCCTCTAAACATCTCACAGGGTTTTATTCACCTCTTTCAACGAGGCTAAAACTCTCCAGTATTTCACAAAAAAGTTTTTAAAAAAAGAATATGTGTGTAGCAGAACTTTATTTTTAAATTGTTTCCTACCCCATTAATTATCTCATGACTTCCCATCCTCTGGTGGAGCCAGGGTCCTTGTTGGTGGACCTCTAAACTAAACTCCCTAACTGTATAAAGTAACTAGCTTCACCTTGACCAGCAACAACAGGAAAATGCTGCTTTGTTGCATCAGTGTTAAAACCCCAATAATATAATATATAATAATGTGTCAGTCACAGCGACCATTTTTCTTTTACTTTTGATAATTTCAGTATTATTTATTCTATACATTCAATTTTCATTTGACTGGAAATACTCAAGTTCTTTTACTTAAGTAAACAAATTCTTCCACTACTGTGTAAAGGTGTGTGTGTGTGTGTGTGTGTGTGTGTGTGTGTGTGTGTGTGTGTGTGTATAAACATGCAATAATCAAATCACCAGTTCCTCCTGCAGTGATTTGTCTCAGGATTGTGACAACGTTCACAATCCTGACACTGTGGCAGAAAAAGGGGGATAACTTTGTCGCCTGTGAAGACAACAACAAAAAAAAAAAACCTTAAAAAAAGAGGAATTAAAACCAAATGTCATGTGGTTGGTTGTGAGCTTGATCCGTGCAGTTTACCCGGTGAGAAATTGGTGACTTCTGGACCAACACTCTCCACTATCCCAGCTGCTTCATGGCCGAGGACCAATGGGAATGGTCTGAACTTCATCCCTTTTCCAGTCTCAAACAGGTATTCATTGTCTGTGTGGCACACCCCTGTGGCGATAATCTGTACAAAAATACATTGGCTGCTGATTCATGTGACAGCTCCAGACAGTGAAGTGGGTTGGTGTGCACTATATCAACAGGAAACAAACTAAGAGGAAGTCATGTGTTGTATCAGTATCACTATCAGCATTTGTGTACTAGTAACATCCACTTGTGTAATAAAGGTCTTGTTCTAAGTTTTGGTTATTTCTTTGTCAACATTATGTAATTAGTTCCTATTAGTTTATTGCTTTTGATAGCTCCAAATGATTCACCTACAACTGAGAACAGCTGTTAACAATGGGATGTTTACTGTGTAGCTCTGCAAGTGCCCATATGTACAACCAAACTATACTAATACTAATAATGAGATCATCATTTTATTGTATTTCAGACAAACTCGGGATGAGCAGCTGACCTTGATGCGGACTTCGTGGATCTTGGGTGGGGCCACCTCTACGTCCTCAATAATCAGAGGCTTCCCAGACTCCCACGCAACAGCTGCCTTGCATCTGATCACCTGAAAGACAAACATTGTGAAAGAGAAAGTGCTCGGTTGTCAGTTACAGGGTGTTTTTAAGCCCATCAAGCCACCTTAAGTGGAAAAGTTGTGTCTGGGTGTGGCCCCTATTATCATATAGCCGTTTTACATGAAAGGCACACAGTTGGGACTGCATTTGGCGTCACTGTTAAAATGCACAAAATAACAACAACCTCAGATTAGACTACTAAACAAACAGGGATTAAACAAACAGTCAATATATCCTAACGTTAGATTAGGTTTTTTTTTTTTCTTACCTGACCTGCTGTTGTCATTGTTGACTGGTTTTTACGTTATTTAAATTCCCTGCATTTGGAGAAAATAATAATTAGCCTAATGATAATTAAATATCAAACAACAACGTACAGCACCAAGTCACACAGACAGATTCTATCTTTGCCTTATGATGCAGTCTGTAAAGTCATACTGACCGTGTCTGTCACCCACAGTCAGTAACGTTACTGATGAGTCAAACAGCCGGCTGTCTGTTTCTTTAAACACCTTGTAAACACGTCTGACTTTACGACAGTTGCCGACACTGGTGAATACCTTTACGGCAGTCTTCGGTCACACGTGTTGTCGTCGCATGGAAGTCCCTCGGAGTAAATAGCAGCAGCTAGTCGACCGAGTTTGTGAGTAATGTGTTTTAACTGTGTGTAGAAAGTGTTAAAAGTGTGTCCATGTTTGTGTTTTGGTGCGAATACGTAAAGTATTGGTTTGTGGCAGAACACGCGGGTGAACTGTGTAGAACTGTTTGAATGACTGAACTGAGTTAGCATGTTAGCTGGAGCTTTTCTGTAAGTCCACGCTGTTAACGTAGTGGGTCGATGCTTCAACACACCAACCACGAATTCACGTGTTTTGTGTTGTCTTCGTTACATTCTGACTAATTCCCTCTCGTGTTTTCGTGTTTCTCGCAGTATACTTGAAGAAAATGTCTTTCAGAGGAGGAGGTGGACGAGGTGGTGGAAGAGGTGGAGGATTTAACCGAGGCGGAGGAGGTGGAGGATTCGGAGGAGGCAGAGGAGGTGGAGGATTTGGAGGAGGCAGAGGAGGTGGAGGATTTGGACGGGGCGGTGGCAGAGGGGGTTTTAATAGGCAACAAGACTACGGTCCTCCAGAATATGTTGTTGGTAAGATCGTTAAAGCACAAACCTGTAATGCTTACATTGGTGCCAGAGAGCTATGGGATATTTCCTTGAGTCTGCAAACTATTGGAACTGGGCCTTTGCCATGATGGCTAGAGCACCTTTCACGTGACTAACTGTAGTTCGTTGTGTTTTTACTCTGCAGCTGTGGGAGAGTTTGTGCATCCATGTGAAGATGACATTGTGTGCAAGTGTACAACAGAGGAAAACAAAGTTCCCTACTTCAATGCCCCAGTGTACTTGGAAAACAAGGAGCAGATCGGGAAGGTGGATGAGATATTCGGCCAGCTCCGGGACTTTGTATCCTTTTTCTTTTGTCTTCACTTTGTCTGTGGACCTCCTGAAACAACCTGTGGTGGGGAAAAAAAAAAGTCAACTGTTGATTGCTTACTTTCCTTAACCAATGCATACAGTATTTTTCAGTTAAACTTTCCGACAATATGAAGGCGTCCTCGTTTAAGAAACTACAGAAGGTATAAAATAAAATATTATATTTGAAAGTAGAGCATTTTCATTCTTAATAGAATTTCAGTACATCTGTATACTGTATAAGTAATTTACAATGTCTCTTTTAGTTTTATATAGATCCAATGAAGCTCCTCCCGCTGCAGAGATTCCTTCCCAGGCCGCCAGGAGAGAAGGGTCCGCCAAGAGGCCGAGGTGGAGGAAGAGGAGGTGGTCGTGGAGGTCCGGCATCCAAACATCCTCATTTTTATTAAACCCGTCTCTTGTTGATGATGAACGTGTAGCTCATGACACTCAACCAGATCTCCGTGTTAGTTGCGGTGAATTTTAAAAATGGAAATGATAAATTCTGCTTTGCTTCTGTTTCAGGCGGTTTCCGAGGTGGCCGGGGTGGAGGCGGCCGTGGTGGATTTGGAGGTGGGCGCGGTGGCGGAGGGTTTGGAGGTGGACGCGGTGGCGGAGGGTTTGGAGGTGGACGCGGTGGAGGCTTCAGAGGAGGAAGAGGAGGCGGTGGCGGACGTGGATTCAGAGGTTGGTCTTTTTTTAGAGCTCTATGCATTTTTAGTCGTCTTTCCTAGTGTGACGCTACTCATTTTTTGTTGTTTACTTGTAGGTGGGAGATGATTCGACAGTGATGGTCTCGTGTGATGGTCCCATTCCAGTTTTCTGCGACACAAGTAAAAAGGCTGCGTTGTATAAGAGTGGCCGGCCTGTTGGACTCATATGGACATGGCCTCTCTTTGTAGAACTTGAATGGATTTTCTCCTTTTTTTTTTTTTGTTTTATTTCTTTACCAGTTTTGTATGCGTGATGGATCTTCATGATTTTTATTTAAAAGGTTCATGTGTATGCTTGTGTGTAACATAGTGAGGACCTTTTCAGACTGTAAGGGAGGATTATTGGGTCCCTTTGTGAACAGACATGTCATTATCCTGTGCTTGATGTTTGTGTTAAAATATTGGGCCATGACAAATGTTTGTACTTCATTAAGATTTGAGATACATCTCCATATATTCATTTACTGATATGGGAAAATGTGTGCAGAATCAGACTTTATATGCTGTTGAAAACATTTTAATACCCATCATTTGTACAATCTTAAGCAGATTATTGTCATTTTTGTTCAAAACCTTAATTAAAAGGTGCTTTGTAACTGTGTCTTCATTTTACATTCTCAGGTGTTATTCATAGAATCCATTCTAAGGTGGCACAAGGGTTTTTATTATCCAGAATCGGGACGGGAAAAAAGATGAGATATACAGCAAGTGAGGGCACAGTAAATGTCCAAATGTAACTAAAGAATATTATAAAGTCTCCCTCCACCCTAAAATGTGTTTAGCTTATTGTTACTTCATTTTGATGTATATATGTTTTTAACAAGGCATTTATGTGTGCATGGTGGCTGTCTGTATCCTGCATCCCTTTGGAGCAGGGCTGTGCACGTCCTAATGCAAACTTGTGGCAAGTATATCTCTGGCTTTAATGTACAGAATGATGTATGTATGACACTAGAGGCTTTCATGTTCATCTGCTGAAGGATAAAAGTTTCACCTTTTTAAATATGAGATTAAGCATGATTTTGAGACATCACAGTTTGAATGCAAAGGTTTTCTGTGCAAACCTGAAACATGCACTGCACATATTGATGGACTTGTTACTTAAGTATGAAACATCTTGTGTCCAATAGTTAACCTTTTAAAATGAAAAATATTTGCATACAGCGGGTAAAATAAGTATTGTATTTTTTCTCAGTAAATATATTTCTAAAGGTGCTATTGACATGGAATTTTCACCAGATGTCGGTAACAACCCATGCAATCCACACATGCAAAACAATCAAACCATAGATGTCCATAAATTATGTGTAATAATGTGAAATGACACAGGGAAAAAGTATTGAACACGTGACACCAGCTGAAATCTATCAGTAATTAGAAAGCAATCCTGCCACTTGTCAGTGCAAATTAATATCAGCTGGTTCAGTCCCAACTGATAGCCTTTAAAAAGGTGTCTCATCACCAAGGTGTCACACAAGAAACATCTCATGATGGGTAAACCCAAACAGCTCTCGCAAAACATACTGATAGCATTGGTTACAGAAGGATTTCTAAACTTCTGAATGTTCCAGTGAGCACTGTTGGGGTCATAATCCGGAAGTGGAAAGAATATAATTTCACCATAAACCGGCCACGACTAGGTGCTCCTTGCAATATTTCTGACAGAGGAGTGAAAAGAATTATCAGGAGAGTTGTCCCAGAGCCAATGACCACTTGTGGAGAGCTTCAGAAAGATCTGGGATTAGAAGGGACAATTGTTTCAAAGAAAACAATAAGTAATGCACTCAACCGCCATGGCCTGTATGCACGCTCACCGCGCAAGACTCCATTGCTGAAGAAAAAGCATGTTGAAGTGCATTTAAAGTTTGCTGCACAACATTTAGACAAGCCTGTGAAATACTGGGCGAATATAGTCTGGTCAGATGAGACCAAAATTCAACTCTATGGATGCCGTAATACACAGCATGTTTGGAGGTCAAATGGCACTGCACATCACCCCAAAACCACCATACCAACAGGGAAGTTTGGAGGTGGGAACATCATAATGTGGGGCTGTTTTTTTTTTTTTTTTTTTACTAAAGATCAGAGTTCATAGAAGAGGCCCACGGAAACTTCAAGATTTAAGACTTTGCAAAAGAATGGGCCAAAATCACACCTGAGCAATGCATGCGACTAGTTTCTCCATACAGGAGGCGTCTTGAAGCTGTCATTACCAACAAAGGCTTTTGTACGAAGTATTAAATAAATTTAAGTAAGCGTGTTCAATACTTTTTTCCCTGTGTCATTCCATTTTATTACACAACTTTAATTTCTGAAATTATTTATTTTGGTTTCTTTGCATGTGTGGATTGCATGGATTGTTACCAACATCTGGTGAACATGTCATGACAAAAGCACCTTTAGAAATATATTTACTGAGAAAAATGGTGACGTGTTCAATACTTATAATTTATATTCTGTTTATATTCTGCAAATATCAATGAGGGAGAGGGACTAGATATAATTCTGTGAATGTTTGACCAGGCTTTTTCACTTCTTTATGGCATACAATACATTATTATCATATTATAACAAATCAATAACATTCAGTATATTCAGAAATTAAGACTAAATCTGGTGTTTTTTTTTGTTCCACAGCACTCAAACACATCTCAGTCGACGGTGTTGGCTCAGTTGTCATTTAGTTTTTTTAATCCTATTTCCAAGACTGAGAACTCGCTTTTACTTTAACATTGTGGCATATCCGTTATTTGAACCGCTGAGAACATTATTAGTATATATCCAGAACATTAGTCAAACTGTCTGACCCGGGCCTTCATTTGACACATTTTGGGTTCATCTGAAACTGGAGAGGTTTTTTTTTTCCGCCGGCTCTACGTCACGCGTAGCCTGCGCGTTCTCGTTTGTGATTGGTCCAGACGTTAACTTCTTTACGGCCGCCCATCGTCCCGCCCTCTCGTGCCGAAGCAACGAACATGGAGACAGCTGGGAAAGTAAGTACTTTCCCCACAAAATGCGCAAGAAATACTAAAGATGCATGATTTCCTTGTGTATGTGCCCTAACGGTGGCATTAATGTCACCTGTAGCACAAAACAACGCCCCCTCTCTCCTCTGACGTGCACGCGTTCACATGCGCTCAATGAACAAGTACAAAGACTCACTGTCTCATTACTTAACGGGCAGCACTGGCCAGTCGGACACAGCTGGAATTTGCAAGTTGCTGCAAAGCGTGTACCGAAAGATAGTCGTAAAGAAAACGGTGAACAGTAACTTTGGTGAAGGGTAAATCGTATCCAGCATTAGAGATATGAGGAAGGTGAAGAACCT